TTTTAACTTGTTTAACCACAAGTTTCAAGATGTCAGCACACTAGCACCATTGCTCTTGCAGTCTTTGCCAGTTATACCATTTTATTCTGTTTCCAATCTTGCGATATTATCTTCTACATGAAGGCCATTTTTTCTTCTGTGGAGATACTTGGATTACTTTAGTTCAGGAAAAGCTAATAGAGATGTCAACCTGTAGCACCCACAGCAGAAAAAGAATCATCCGTCAGATATGTGAATTTCAGTGATACTCAAGATTTTACATGCTCCACACAATTTTAAGATACACACACTTGTCAGAGACCACAGACTGATTTAAGAATATTCCACCTCAGTGTGGACAATACACGAAAATCACGTTAATGTCTTAAACAAGGAACCAAAGACAGCACATCAGAACATCACACAAATCATGCTTGAAGTATTAAAAGATATAAAGTATCTTAAAGTATTGAAAAGATATAAAAATTACAATGCCATGTTTAATTTTGGTGTTTTGTAATAACATAGTTACCTCCGTCAATCTGGGTTTTGGGGGAACTCCCTTCTCTACCTGGAAATATCATTTATCTTATCAAGTAAACTTCTGTACAACTATAGCTAAGGGACCAATGCTTTGTTAGTTTTGCATCTTTACATCCCCATCTCCATTTAAAGCTGCTATTTTCAACAGAAGCCAGATGGCCATGAAATAAAGTTCTTAACTCCTAAAAGTGCCTCTTGGACAGAGATACAATTAACCTAGTACTCCCTTAAGATAGTGTTTATTTTGGTAAAAGTTATTTCTGAACAGATTTGGCTATAAATAACTGAATTTACGCAAATGAATCTTCACAAGAGTGTTATAAATCAAACTAAACAATTCTAACAGTGATTATCTGTTTCTGTATGTGGTGCAAAAAGACCCACCCAGAGCACACAAGTCTGCAGCAATGTGGAATCCTCTCATATTAAAGAAAAGTAGAGCTTTACTCTATACACAGGCCTAGTACCAAGGCAAACTACAAAGTTTTTGTTAAAAATTAATTTTGTTACATTTGCAAAATGCTCTTGCACCTGCAGTGCTCTTTGGATTAAAATATCCAAAGAGCACTGCAGGTGCAAGAGCATTCGTACCTGAGGGGCAGTGCTGTTCCCCATTACCTGTTGCTGCACAGATGCCTGAGGGAGCTCTGCCAAACAGAGCACACCTTTCCCACTTTTAGGCTTAAGAAAGGAAGTTCATCACCTCAGCAACAAGCTGGCACATTACACTAAGGCAACATGATTGTACGGCAGTTTCAGACTTAGGCTCAACCTTAGCTAAGCACAAACTTGTCTCTATGTTTTTTTTACAAGTACATGCAGTTATCGTGAGATTTTCAATTAAGTAGCTTCTGATTTTATTGAAGTCTCTGTATGTTACTTCCAAATTAGTTAACTCTGTATTACAAAGTCAGGAATTACTTTCTGGGAGTGTACAGGCAGCAGACAGAAAGTCTAAGTACTTGAAGCAGTTTGTGAACATGCCTCTGCTTCTGATAAGGCAGGTTCCATTTGACTACTTTCAGAGCAACTGAAGTATAACCAACACTAAAATAGAAATTGTCTTCCTAAGAATGCACAGGCTCAGAAATATATTGGGAAGTTTAAACAGATGCTGAAGCACTTTATAAAAGAACCTGTAACAATCAAAGATGCAGAAAAGGAAATAATACATTTCCAAGACTTAATACACGTTCCAGTCTGTGTAAAATCAAGACAGCATGAGAAGTTTTTATTGCCATTCCATTTGCCTGTACAAATGCCATTGTGATTTCAGCTGGGTATCATGACAGTATTAGCCTCAATTATCCTGCCTGAAAGCCCCCAGAATCTGAAAGGGAGCTCTTGGATTTGTACATCACCTGGTAAGCCAGGATCCACTAGCTAGGAGGGAAATCCCAGCTTGCACCAATACCAAGCTCCCTCCCAGAACAGGTGGCAAGCAGCAGGTCACAGCTGCTGAGAACCGTAGAACCACTTCAGGGTCACTGCCTTCCTGGGCTTCTCTGCAGCACCCCTTTCCATGACAAGGCACAGAACAATTTCCCCCACCCCAGCACACTCCCCAGTAACCATAACACATTATTTCAAAACATCAACTTGTCCCGTTGACCTCAGACACGAAGCAATTTTTTATCTGCCAGGAACAGAAGATTCTTGAACAGGAAGTGTGCCAGCAAGCAGCATTCATCCAGAACGGGAAACACTGGATGACATATGCTGGAATATTTGCTACTTAGTACTTATGGCTTCCCTTGATATTAAGAGACCGTCAAAAGGAAAGCCTATAAGGAAATAGGGGTTAAAGACATTTTACTATACACTACAAATCTTACCCAGTCAGAAACCTTCATTTGAAGAGGATGTGCAAAACATTCCCCATTTTGTCAAGCAGCAGCTTCTCATTCAACCTGAAAATTAAAGAAATTACTCTTACCTTGTTAAAAAACCTCCCACCACTCTTTATAATTCATGAAAAATTTTAAAGGCAAACCTTACCTATGCTCATTGCCCTTCCTTTCAGGTCTAAATGCTAGACCTATTGATTTTGAGTCAACTCAAGTAGCTATCACTCAAGGAGGCTCCAAAAGGTGAAGAACTCTTGCTAGACTTTCTTCGATATTTCAGCTGTGATAAGCAGATTTAACTAGCCTTGGGAAAGCTGCTCACTATCAGCACAGTATCTTATTCCTTCACTTTTCTGGAAGTTGAAGCTGTTGCTCCTGCTGCCTTGTCATTCTTTAATTAGGCTGACTTCTCCATACTCAATAGGCTGCTGAAGTCCTGTCTTACGAGTCTCCTTAGCAATGTATGGATCAAAGAGGTACATCCTAGGTTCTGTAAAGCTGGCGGATCACTGTCCTCATGGCTTACACTTTTCCACGTCACAAACAACAGCTAAGCTACCCCACCCACCTACAAAGCGGTCACTTACATCCATCTCTTAAAAGGTTGCATACAGATCTTGTTCATAAAGTTTATTATGACACTATTTTTCAAAGTTAACATTGTAGTCACAGTACAGCTACAAGAGGCCCTGTTAAAAAGAACACTGTCAATACATTCTAAAAAATTTAGAAATACCAGATCAATTGTCAGAAGGGACATCAACCCCATCCTCCAGTTGTCCCTGCAATCAGATGCAGGCCCCGGGTGCAAGTCTACGCATCTTCTAGCATAGTAACGTACAAAGCAAGTCAGAGGTCAGGTGTCTCACTCCCTAGTGAGGTATGGTTTAGTTTCCCATGTTTTCAAACTCCAAAGGGGTTGTTTAAAAAATGCCTTTATTGAAGTACAGCCTCCCCCCCCACCCCAAGCCCAAATGAACAGGTACAACAACAGAAGCATTCACTAAACCACCAATTCTTGCTTTAACTTTTGAGATCTTTCAGAGCTCCACAGACAAGAATAAGCAGACTTTGAAATCCATTTTTGAGGCTACCATCTTGACACTGGTTCCTTGTTTTAGCGTACTGCAGTCTAAATACACTCCAATAACAGCGTTTAAATAACATGTTTAATTTTTTTCAAACAACACACTTATTTTTCTACCACTTCTTAAAAATTATAATTCATTAATATGACTGATTATGCCTTAAGCCATTTCATACATCTTTGCAGATTCATTCCTACACTGGAATTGCATTTACCTTATACTGCACATTGACCCAGAAGTGAAACAGGTGTAATTCCAATACATATTGCCAAGTGTCTGAGTATTTCTTTTATTGACTGGGTCCCTACTCTTCTGAGTCTGAATTGACAGCAAGCACTGGCCTGGCAATAGTCAAGAGAATTCACATCAGATGAGGACAGCACAGACTGCAGTGCCTTAATTTGGAGGTCAGAAGTGAGAATGAAGTACAATTTCTAGCCACATGTACTGGTCTGATTTTCTACTCCACTGCACCAAATCCAGTTGTAGCACACTACCATTCTACCTGTGGGAACTGGGGACTGTAGCCCTCTACGTTCTGGGAGTGCTTCTAGTCAGTAAAATACAACTAGATCGTGTTTCATCAGACACATGTCTGCTGGCAAACAGCTCAAGGACTCTACTATTAAAGAGCCCACGGGGAATGGGCTTTTGGAGCACATTACCTGGGACTGTCAGTGATTACACCTGTGCTACCCTTGGCTCCCAGTCAGAAGCATGTGTCCAGAAAATTGCCTTGGGTGCATGCAAGAAAGTATATAGCCATTAAATTATTGAGGAACATACCTATTACTCTCACTACGATACCTCATTTAATTGAAACAGTGCAGTCTGGTGCAAGGGAGAAGGAAATGGGGACAAAGGGGATGAAAATTCCAAGCCACCCTCCCCAAAGTATAGTTTTATTGAAACAGAATCATTGTATATCCCAAGGAAACAGGCACTTGATTCCCCCCACCTTAACTTCTCGGAAATTACAATAAATATAAAGGTAAAAAGCAAATTTCTTTTTCTTTCCACCCAAGACTTAAACAACTTCAGTTATCCCTTATGCATCTCAAATGAGACGGGAGACAGCTTTCGTGTGTCTAAAGTTGGTCTTGTTAAAATATTTATCATGCCTTATTTTCTTGAAGCGCTAGTACTAATACAGAACTACAAATTAAAAAAATATGCACAAACCAAAAAGTAATTTGAAGTTTTCATTAAGATAAAGCTTAGTTCTATGATTCACAAACACTAATTTGAGTAACTCAAATCCTAGTTATACATCTAAACAAACTATAATGCAACATACAGATGTTTTCCCTCTGTATGCCTATGTAACTCATGTCAATGACAGTTACGTATATACACTGAGACTAGACCCTTAAGACTGCAAATCAATAGGTGTTTCTATTGTTAACTTTAAATTAATACAAAATAGTAATTGAGAAATGCATTTATCTTCTCTATTAACTAACAAGGAAACACCCTAAACTACATTTCAGTTCTGTTATAGAGTTCTCTGTACTAAATGTGGAAAAACTGAACTACACAAATATTGAAAAGTTAAAAATTCATTGATTTGTTTATTCCTGGTACCACTACCACAATTTACAGGGCAATATACCTGATGTAATGGGAAAATAAAAAGAAAAAAGAAAGACAAAGCTACAACAGAGAAAGACCTCAGGAATGTACATCTAATCGACACTACATTGCATGAATCAATAGCTGCACTTTTTGCAAACTGTGGCTATGACAGTCCTGATCAAGAAGGGTTTCCTGTTTAAGCTGCAGTAACTTTTCTGACTATGGATCATCGTTCCTTCTGTGGCAGATTTTACAGTTCCTCTAATTCATTTGGGACGACTGTCTCAAAGTAACCTGCAGCTTTCCTGACAACTCCTCGCTCTCTCTCCTGCTAAGAACTGTAGCCTGTTGAATACAGGATAAGAAAATTATTACTCTCAGTGAACATTGTACATTATTCATCATCATTATAAATATGCAGTACACCTACCCTTTTTCTGGTAGCATTTTTAGAATCTTCTACCACCATAGCCCCCACTTCCACTTCCAGATCCATAACCACCTAAAAAAACCAGTGTGTATATTTAAGTACATGATCAACAATGGATTTTAACTCAAAAATATTTTCTGTACAAAATCATACTTACCACCATAGGGACTGCCTGAACTTCTGCCACCAAAGCTGCCACCACCTTTCATGGGACCATAGTTAGACTGCTGTTGTCCACTGTAATTGCCAAAATCATTGTAGTTTCCACTTCCACCATAATTACCTAAAACAAGTAATTTATAAAGCCTTGTTTGTTTAACACTTAGGACACAAAACTCACCAAATTCCAATACCCAATGTAAAAATAAATTGTAGTAGTTTAGAACAATTTAAAATTAAATTCATGTATTTTGATGCTACCTCTATGCAAATGCACAGGTAACAGAAGACCCTTAGTATTTTTACCATTAGAAACTGTTATTCTATTGGAGATGAAACACATCCCATTATAAGCACGTTTGAGTAGGCAATTTGATGTGAATCCGACAGGCCAAATTAAAGTCCCCAAAATCAGAAAACCATGAGTTTCACCATTATTCTTCTACTGTACAACTCTGCAGGGATGGATGACAATAATGAAAATTACAATTTATTCACACAAAAAAAGAGACAGAATTGTAATGGACATGCTGCATACAAAATCAGAAAGTATAGTAAGATATACAGCAGTTTTTGCAGCTTAACTCTTCAAATTTGGGGCAAAAAATAAAAAAGCTTAAGTTTGTGTTTGTAGTTCTCACAAAGGAGGATGTGATCTACGTGTTGTGAACTGGTATCCAAGGACAACATACTTGAAATGCTTAAAACCACTGAAATTCCTATACTCTGCCTCCACACACAGATTTATAGCCAAAGCCTTTTGAAAAATACATCCCTGGCAAAACAATGTTGTAGTTTATCAAAGCTGATCCCCATGAAAAAGAACTTCCCTTAAGCAACATGGCCTTCTACATTAAAATCCAGACATACAACTCATTTTACAAATTACCATATTTCAGGCATTGTGAAATGAAACCTAAGAACCACTGATGTCAAATTAAAGCTGGAATCTTACCACCACCAAAATTTCCTCCTTCATTGTAGCCATCATATCCTCCTCCTCCTCCTCCATATCCACCACCTGGGTTTCCATATCCTGGTCCTCCACCACCCCCATAACCTCCTCTGCTGCCATAGCCAGGGCCACCGCCATAGTTGCCACCTTTGGATAAAAGAAATGTCAAACTTAGCACACCAAAGCTAAACACTGGTAAGGAAAGATGCATTTAACAAAAAAACCCCAAACCAACACACTTGTATAATAAAGATATCCCACAGCACTTTTCCTTTATTATATTCATTGTGGCTGCATGATTTATCTAAACTACTTAATTGAGAAAAAACCCATGCTTATAAAATCAGGACCTAAGTAATTCATTTCATGCTACTTCCCTCATCCCTTTTTGCATTCTGATAATTGCATTTTTTAGCCTTTTGGTAATTGCAGTATTTCTCTTCAGATGCATTTTGGATAGATACTCATCCTAACTGCATCACAAAAAAGATACCACTGAACCACAAGAAGTCTTAAAAGCTTACTGAAAACAGTTGTTTACGGCTTTATGCAGTTTCAGTCATCCCAACTGACTAAGAATCTTCACTGAGCTCTCAATAATAAGTAGCTCCCTCACAACCTTATGATGAATTTTTAAAGGGCAAATACAGACTAGTATTTTTTCCACCCATCATTTTGTGGGGAGAAGAAAAAAAAGTTAACTCTTCACAGCTCTACAATGCAGACATTTCATTTTCATTACTGATATTATCACATTATCACCAAAACAAACTTTGCTTCCAAGGTGAAGGCAAGACTTACAGCTGGTTCTAACATTGGGGTAAAAGAAGTGAACAATACACTTACCATCACCAAATCCATTGTATCCGTCACCACCCCCAAAGCTTCCTCTGCTCCCACCACCGCCACCACCACCCCCATAGCCTCCTAGAACACAAAACAGATGAGAATGTTTTCCTGAACATGTTAACTGTTTAAGCCAACTGACAGAGAAAATAAAACCAAAACCAAAATGTAAATCATTTTATAATAATATTCCAGCCATTTACCTCTCCCACCAAAGTTTCCTCCTCGGCCAAAATTCCCTCCACCGCCTCCGAAGTTTCCACGGCCCATGAAGTTGCCTGAGCCACCCCCACGACCTACAAAATATTTCACTTGAATTACATTAATTGAAAACCTGTTACACAAAATAGCTATGCACAACTACAACTCACCTCTCTGAGAGCTAGCAGTCTGCATCTCCTGTTTTGAGAGCGCCTTTTTCACTTCACAGTTGTGTCCATTTATAGTATGGTATTTCTGAACTACATAAAATAGCGAAAAATTAAAGTTAGAAATCACATCATTGCAATATGCTGTAAAACTCTCACAGAAAGTTACTATATGGCATATGCACACTGAAAAGTAACATAAAATCAACCCCATCCTTCACAATAGTAAAGCAGCTGATTATGCAACCATCTCATAGCACACAGTGCTTTTCTGAAATCTTAACACTTTATCCGCCAAGTCATTTGTCACTGAAGAGCTTACATACCAACAATTTTATCAACTGTATCATGATCATCAAAAGTAACAAAAGCGAAGCCTCTCTTCTTTCCACTCTGCCTGTCTTCCATGACCTCTATGGTTTCAATCTTTCCATATTTTTCAAAGTACTCCCTCAAATTATATTCTTCTGTATCTTCTTTAATTCCACCAACAAATATTTTCTTTACGGTGAGGTGTGCCCCAGGCTTTACAGAATCCTGCAATGCCAAAAATGAAATTCAGTGCTTAAAGCAGTAGGTAAAGATCAGAACATGTGGTTAACTGGAACACTAGCTCACCTCCCTGGAAACTGCTCTCTTTGGTTCAACCACGCGTCCATCAACCTTATGTGGTCGAGCGCTCATGGCAGCATCCACCTCCTCCACACAGGAGTAAGTCACAAAGCCAAAGCCTCTGGAACGTTTTGTTTGGGGGTCTCTCATCACCTGCAAACACACAAGGAGGCACTCTGTATTTCTGTGCCACTTTAACTACCAAACCCTTTCAAAGGGACAAACTAATAACAGAGCCTTTACCACACAGTCGGTGAGTGTGCCCCATTTCTCGAAGTGCTCTCTCAAGCTATCATCTGTTGTTTCAAAGCTCAGACCTCCAATGAACAGCTTTCTCAACTGCTCTGGCTCCTTTGGCTCATGGCCCTACAAAATGAAAAAAAATCAAAAACATACATTGAATACAAATTACAGAATTAAAATTTCACTGAATTATTAGAAATTATTTGTACACATTATAACTACAAATAGGTGAAATACATTTACATAAAAACAATGACTTCTAATGGGTTTAGACAGCAGAATAGTAAACACTTAATGAGGTGTGATTTTAATTAAAACACTAACAACTTAAAGAGCGCTAAAATGCAAACAGTAAAGGAATTTTAACATATTAGGTAATTTAATTGCTCCCCACCACCCAAAAATGCATTCATTCTGTAGCTATCTTTGAGCTGCAGCTCACACTGCAGGGACTGGGGATGAAGCACTGCTGGATAAAGGGAAGTTCTAACACTTTATGAAGCATAAATATGCAGATCTACAAAAAATTTAAGGATGCAGTACACAAGGAAAAAAGGCTCGGGCTGAGTGTCTACTCTTTGAGGATGTCCATTTTGAAAGGCTACCTTTATACATTTTTATGGAACATATCAATACTCAGTTCCTTTAAATATAAATTCTGTACTTTGATAATTCTATTACTGGAGCACATGCAAGCAAGATAGTGTAAATATGTATGTGGATTTTAGTGTTATGGGAAATACCTCTCAAATGTGAGACAACCTATGTCTTACAGACAAGAAAATGCCCTAACAACTCATCAATGACCAGCAGTGGGTACAAGTACCAGAGTAAGATTGGTAACTTGGCAAACATCACAGAACAAGCAAGTTTAACAGCTCTTGGTAACACTGCCTATATACAACCAGCCACATTTTAAAAGGTGCAAATTTGCAAATCCCAGTCTTCTGTTAAATGACTGAAATGGGTTTGAGAGTACAATTGTGTTTCTGCTCTGTTTCAGTGCTGCACTTTTTTACTAGACAGGGAATTCCCCCATACATTTGACGAGGAGTTCACAAAAAATTGTTTCAGAACTGCCATTGTCAGAGAAGTCTTACCGGACTTCTCTGTTTAAAAGCAACCAGATTAAAATCTCATTTAGCAAGTGGGTACTTCTGTGCATGTAAGACACTCCACAAAGGGCTGGCCAGCTATGCTGTGTATGACTTCAGTTCTGCAGCATCAGTTAACAGGCTTCACTGCGGCAGTCCATTAAACCAGAGTAGATGCAGCATTATCCTGATGTGAACTACATAAAAACAGCCACAGACTTCTATCTGTAGACATTCTGCTTCAAATCTGAAGTGCTTTAACCTCTGTCACAGCGTTGGGGCTGGCCAGGAAAGCTTAAGCCCCTTAGTGTGTTTTTGTATGATACAGTGCTTCAGCAAACCATTGGCTTATAATACTTAGGTTGTACTACAGCAAACAGTAACTAAGATTATGAAAAGCTGTCTGGGAGTTAAATCTCTGCCCTTACACCTGCTGAATTTTGTTAGACAGAAACCCAGTGTTTTTGATTACAGCTTACTCTTTAAAGCTTTGTTACTTCATGATCATCATATAAATCAGTAACAGTCAATGGTCCCATAACTACAAAGTAAAGCTTCTAGCCTCTTACAAGTAGTCCAGACTACAAAGGCATTAAAAAAAAACAAACTCCCTTCTCACTACATTGAAACTTTAAATTTTATAGGATTACACACCTACCGCATATAGAAATTGCTTTAGGCCAAGTGTCATCTCTTGCTAATTCTAGTTTTCAAAATCTACTGACAATTTTTTGTTGGGTTATGTTAAAGCTGGGGACACTAAGCATTTCAAAACTCTTGTACAGGTACTGAAAGACATTTATTATGTGAAGCTATGAAGATTAGATTCCTTCAAAATCAGAAACATATGCAAGGAAAAACTGTCAGACTATTTACAGTTCTCTGATATTATTCAAGGCTATGAGAGTTTCCAGCTAATAATTCAGAGTGCTTTTACCTTAAAAGAATAACCACAGATTTGTTCAGGTAAGGAGAAGTGAAGCTCTTTCCTACTTATTGTTACGTGCATGAGAACTGCTGCTCTCATACAGCAGGAAGAACACCCGCTGTTACAGCTTCTCTGTTCTACTTGATAAAAATTATCCTTAGGACACATACATGTAACAGGAATTATGTGCAAAAAATAGAAGGCAGTATTTTCTTGAAAGAATGAGGTAATCAGTTTTTTAGGCAGTTTGTTGTCACTGGGATTTTCAGACAAGACTCTTTCTCAGTTGTTCTGTTTAAAGTTATTTCTAACAGCAGTCTTTCCTGCACAGAAAATCCTGCAAAGCACATCTCTCCACCCTGCTCTATCAGAACCAGGCTGCCTCCTGCTCAGCTGACACGCCAGGAGAGCACGCCATTTTGCAGCACTCCTCTGGCAGGAGTGGGGAGAGCAGCTGCAAGACGGTCCAGCCTGCCTTTAGTCGGCAAGACACGGTTTCTCCCCCATAGCTGTCAAAGGGGCTTCCAGACACGTTACACGGCTCTGCGGAGGCGGAAAACTTTCCGTCTGCCCCGACTGCGGCCTTCCCTGCCCCAAAGCCCGACCGCGGCGCGGGCCCGGCCGCCTCCATTTTGTGCTCAGCAGCGGCCGCGGCGCCAATATGGAGGCGAGGGCGGGGCGCGCGGCCGGCGCCGCAGTGGCGCCATGGGCGGGGCCCGGCCCGCGGGGCCCAGGGCGGGGCCGGCGCTGCGGGAGCCGCGGGCCCCTCCGCTCGCCGCCCGCCGAACCGCAGCGCGCCTCCAGGCCCTACCGAGACCCCGACACCCCGCGCACTGTAACTGCACCTCTCGCCTAAGGCGGGGGGAAAGACGGCAGCTAGAACCCGCTGGGATTCCTGCAAAAATCCTCCTCTTTGCAGAAATCCTGACACCTTTTGAGACAAAGCTACTGCACATACACACTGCTTTTATGCTGTGGTTGCCAGCAAGTGGAATTTCCTATGGCAGGGGTTTTGGATGATCAGCCTTTTGGATTGCAGTATTTCTCTCTGAAGGCACTTTTCGGGTGGAGCTTTCCCATGCATTCTACCTCTGAGCAGCAGCAAATGCCCACAAAATGCCGGTCACCAAGGCCACCCTCAGCAGGCAGCACAATCCCAGACTGCCTTCTGAAACGGGAAAGCTTACAGGCCACTGGGGCCTCAGCAACGTGCCCTGAGAAACTTGTTCTCTAGAAACTCAAGTTTTTAAGATCGTTGCAGGGCAAGCTACTTTTGTGAACTACAAGAGGTTATTTAGTATGCAGCTGATCGACCCCGTTACACCCAATTCAAAGTCCAAATGAGGGCGAGAGTTTCAACATTCCTTCCAAAAGGACTTTACACACTGTATTTCAATACAAAATAACCATACACTACCAGACACATGCAACTGGGACAAGGTTTGTTCAGAATTCAAGTGTACAGGCCCTCCCACATTGCAGTAGTGTATCATTCCAGAAAACAGCTGGTTTGAACTAGCTAAAATATTCAGGCAACCTGAAAAAATGTTAGAAAGCAAACAAATCCAAATAAACGAAGATAAAATGCCGCCGTTATAAGCTATATAAGCGCTTTTAATACCCTTTTTGCTGACCTTAAAATTATTTTCTGAAGGGTATTAAGAACTTCCCCCCTCCCACTTCCACACCCTGCCCCAAAAGTAACTAGCTCCCATCCTCCCAAAAACAGCCCCAACATCTTCTCTATACTACGCACCTTATTCAGTCTACGGTATTTCTGCTAGAAGCAAAAGAAAACAGTTATTTTTACTTAGTACAGCTCGCTTTCATTTGCAGTGACTATCAGGCAACCATTTTTACTTAAAAAAAAAGGAAAAAAAAAAGAAAAGCAAATAGGAACCTGTCTTCATTCCCACTAAAAACAGGACTTTTGAAGGTAGAAGTAATCAAGTTCCTGCTGATACTTGGAGGATACATAAATAATTCCACCTTGCTTTAATCAGAAACATACATTTAATCAATTCTGTTACAACAGAAAGCTAGACAAGCAAAATTTCCCCATTAGGCTTAACACCCCACCCCTTACAAGTGTATGTAATAAACTGCAATTTAAAGTTACTCCACTAATACGGGGATGAAGAAGGTAGAAAAAAAAGATAGAAACGGACGGTTAACTTGGGGGTTTTTTTACCTTTGCCCCTTAAAACTACTTTATTTTGAATAAAAAAACCCATCCTCTCACCTGTGAGGATCGTCTTCCTTTCCTCTTGTAGTCTTCCACTTCTCTCTCTTCCTTAATAGCAGCCATTTTGGAAGGGTACTCTCTAACTCGGCCTTTCTTTTAGATCTAGGAAACCTAGAAAACAGGTTGGATAAGTCAGTACTTACCCCAGCTCCTGTGACACAGGGCCCTCTCTGCTGCAGTGCACAGGTGTAGCTTTGCAGGAAGAAATGGGTTGAAGTAGAAAAAAAATCTCTAAAGTATTTAAAAGGGTGGGATAAAAACCCTCAGGCTACTCAGCAAACCACTGAAAAGAGATGCAAAAGAAACATCTGCTATCCCAGTCAAGCTCACTACACAAACTAACGCTAAAATCTGTAGCAAACCTTTGTCTATTACTGTCTGACAAAACTATTTTGAGTACAACTGATACAGCAAGCAAATTCCACTTCAATATCCAAATCCACTACGTAAATTCTGCTTCTCTAGAGTTTTAATCCCCAAAAACATGTAATCTTTTGTAAACACTGCTTATTAGAACTTTCTGATGACTACCTCTTGTAGTCAGCTATCCATCAGTGTGCAACACTATAGGATGTCTTACATAGTTCCTGTATTAAAAACTACCTTCAACTAGTAGTGCAAGAAGCCCTTGCTGATGCTAACCTGCAACATCAAGAACTGCTATCCTCAGGAGTCTCTTCACTATCTGCATTACTTTTGCTTCCCTATTACATATTTGATTACTGCCCGGTACTAGGTAATCTATGTCCCATTACAAATAAGAAATCGTTTACATCTAGGATCATTCAGTTGGTTCTAGTATTAATGTATTCATTTATCTCTGGCCAATATTCATTACTACTTTGGATGTTTCTTGAAGGTTTATTACAGTGGCCAAAATGCAATAATGTTAGGTACATTACAAATGTGCTGCATTTAAAAGCATAGATATTTACAAGATTAGGTGCACTTCTGTGATAGGTTTGTTTGGGTTGTGGGGTTTTTTTTAATGTTTTCTTCCTGCAAATTTTGCTCCTGCATGTGGAAAGGCAGGCAGGTCTCTACTAATGAGCAATATACGCTGTTATTCTAAGTGCAAATTCTTAAACATAACTTCATGTTAAAATTCAGCTTCAAATTAAACTCCGCTGTGAAATCAGGAGTATCACAATTTAATGCATTAACAATTTAAATCGTTTAATTAAGTAACGTCAAAGTGTTTGTATTGTCTTCAGTTCCTGCTACACAATGTTAAAGCTCCTCTTGAAATCCTTTAAATCAAACATCAGTTTGATTTAAGAGGTATTAGGATATTAAGTACTTCAGCTGAGCCGTCAGTTTTTAAAGTCATGTTGGGGAGATATGAAACAGAACTTTAACACTTCAAGGGATTTCCACAAACGAGCTATACAGCAAAATAAAGCTTTAGGAATTGTTAGGGAGTAAAGGAATAAGCTTATTCAAGTACTTTTTCAAAGTAATGGAAAGTATGAATCCCTTTCTGAAGCTGCTATCCCCAGCGAGGCTCCACACTGGCCAACATAAAGCTCCTGGGCATGGTCTCTGCCCCAATGGCCTCTGAAGGCCTTAAGGGTTAAAAAGGAGTTGTCTTCTTGAAATGCACACCATCAGCTCATGTGGAACACAGCCCTGCTCAGCCCTGTCCTCAGGGTGCTGTCCTGAACGTTAAGGCTGACAGCACCAAATTTCTGAACTCTTATCACCAACAAAATACTCTATTCAACTCTGACTACTCAGAATACCTTTACCATTAAACGCTAGTTAATAAACTAGGATTGAGCAATCATATACTGCAATTTAACTAGAGAATTTAAAGCAGTCTCCGAAGAAAGCTTTAAATTATAATGATAAAGAAGTCACCAGGACTTGTCTCATTACTCACAACGCTGCTCTGTCTCTTACAGGAGAAAAGAAGCTAACAGAGACAAATCAGACATTATGAAGATGGAAGTTCACCATCCAATCAGAGAATACTTAGGAAATGCACTGGTCTTTTCTACAAGCAGCTGAGGGTGGTTTTAGAGTGCATACAGAAGGGTGTTTTACAAAACCTAAGAGTTAAAGCAGGAAAAAACTGTTTCCCATTTTTAAGTGTGTTCGTAGTGTACCCCCAACACCAATAGGAACACTCTATACCTGATGTGATAGGTTCCCAAGCTTTACTGAACCACTTCAATGCTTTGAACGCATCAGCCCTCTCAGTTATTAAACCCCGAAGCAGCTAAAACAATTGCTTACATGAAAAGTTGTTTTTAGCTGCTTTGGTTAAGGGATCCACTTTCTTCTGTTTTGAATACAGGAACAGAAACTAGTGTGAGCTGTTGGTTTCTCAGATCTTAATTTCTAAGGTTTCAGCGCTCAGTGAGAGGAGCAAAGATTAAAAATTGCACGCAAAAAACCCCAAAAAAACAACAACCACCTAAACCACACCCCCCCCCCACTATTTTTGCTTGCCATCCTCTCAAACACTTGAACAAAGAACCTTAGGTTTTGAGGAAAGAAAAGCAAGGGCAGAATATCATTACGATTTCCCTCAAAGTAGGGCGAGGATGATTTCACTAGGTTTGTGCAGACTGCTTCATGCTGCCGACCAGGATCGTGGAAGAATGCCACCGAATGTCCTGGCTCTTCAGCACGTGTAGTTGAGGGAGTGGAGAAAAGGAAGAGAACTCTGTAGTTTTCCTTCCCCCACCTCCCCGGACAGCAAAGGTTCCTGGCAGGTTTTAACTCCCTCTGGGCAAGAGTACGAGACACTAGGGAGGTGCTACGTGTTGCAGCATTCCTCTGCGAAATGCAGCGTACTGCAACAAACTATTTTAATGCCTCTAAAACCTGCTTCGAGAAAACGGAATGTGTAGAAAGTGTGTTAAAGAATACCCCTGCCGCACTACTCCGAGTACCTTACGCTGGAAGGGGGTGGGCCGGGGAAGGAAGGGGGAAAGGAACACAGGGAGAGCAGAACAATGACACACGCACGTGTAGGGCTCCCTCGCCCTACTGCAGCCCAGACACGGGCCCGTGTGTTTCGGTGTCCCCCGGATTGCTGCGAAGGGCTCTGCCGCCCCCAGCCCTGCCTCGGACCGAGGGCCGAGCCCTCACCCGCGCGCCGGAGCGCTACGAAATGGCGGCCGCAGCCCGCGGGGTCGCGCGGCGGAAGCGCCGCCTCTCCCGCTCTCTGTCTCTTCCTGCCCGCGCCGCCATTGCGGACAAACGCGGCGTGTCGCAGGCGAAAGCGGGTCTGGAGCGCGGCGGGAACGCCACGACGAGGCGGCGGCCGCGGGAACTGCAAGGGGCTCCATCACATATTGCCGCCAACCACCCCCTTCCCGCCGCGCTTTCCCGCCCGCGGGCTCAGGCGGAATTAAAGCCGTTCCAGCTCCGCGCGGTAGGAGCCGCCTCCTCGGCCGATGGCGGCGAGCCCCGCGCCCCGCGCGCAGTTACCTCCATTTTGTGCCCGGGCTCGGCCAGCGCAGCGCCAATATGGAGCCGGGCGGGAGAGGAGGGGGGGGGGGGGGGGGCGCGGAGGGGTCACGTGGCGGCAAGGCGGGCTCGGGGCGGCGCGCGCGCTGCGGCCGTTACCGCTTTTCTTCTCAGGGCCCACCGCCCATCCCCCCTCCTTCTCCTCTCCCCCCCCCGCCCGCGCGGCGCCTTCCCCGCCAGAAGGACAGAAAAGGGTCGGGAGCGAGGGAAGGTGGGGAGAGGGAATGTGCGGGGAAGGGTAGGGAGGGGAGGAAAGAGAAAATATCACCGTGCCGGCGTTCAGCGACAGCGCCTTCCCGCCCTCGTCGGTCCCACGCAGACCGCCGGCCCAGCGCACAAACCGCCGCCCGCTGTGGGGGTGGCAGCGCCGGCGCAGCCGCGGAGGGCGCGCGGAGCGGCCCCGCCTCCCCACAGTGGGGCCGCCCCCGCTCCGCCCCCGAGCGCGAGGGGCCCTGTGAGGGAGCGCTGTGCGCCGGGCTGCCCCGGCCGGCATCGGGTGCTTGTAAGGAGTAAAAGAGGGAAAGGAGTAAATGCTCTGCCTACAGGGCACAGCTGCAGCAGTATCAGGGTGTGCCCGATGTGCACAGCACCTTCTAAGAGAAGTTATTTGTCTCCGTACATTGTTTTACGCCGGAGATGCTGCAAGGACGCAGCTGAAGATCGGCTCTCCAGAGCTCGTTCAGCGCTCACCCTCAGAACTGAGCGTAGCTTAGTCAGTTTCCGGATAAATGCCAAAACAAGTCCAAGCAGTAAGTTTCACACACTTCCCCATTCAGAGGCATTGCCTGTAGCTTTGAATGGCGCTTGTCATCATAAACTAGCAAAGAGACATCAGGAGAAAGGGTATTCTGCGAGAATTTCGTACAGGAAGCAGCATAGTTAAGCACAAATATTTAAAATGTCTCCTTACCGGAACAATGGTATCAGAAAAAGCAGTGTTATAAAATTTTATTATTAAAGTAACCCATCACATCAAAGTTTATTCAGTCTTTGTTATCCTCTCATAAGTACCAGTACCTATTTTAATATGATGACCTAACCTTAACAGGAGTCTGCACTTACTCCTTTAAAGATATCTTCATCCTATGTAAAGGAGTATGACAGTTGATGAGGTTTTACCAAATCACTGGAAATTTAGTATTAGCTGTTACTTTAATTTTTTTATTTTATCCTGATGTTTCTAAATAAAAATATATCATCATCCTGTTTGATTAACTAAACATAATTTCCCTACTGCATAGAGAAATTCCCAACAGATCTAGAAATGCTCACTGCTATCATGTACAAGGATTGAAACAAGTTTTTACATCATTTCTGTATCTTTGAGAAGGTAGATGTCTACACAGAAAAAAAACTCACTGAAAATCCCATAAAACGTCAGCTATTCTTTGCACTGAGGCCAAAGCCAGGAATTCCTCATCTTCCTTTTCTCAGCAAAGTAAATAAATCACAAAATTTATATTTAAAATAAAATTCTTCCTGTAATTTGTCCTCTTGCTTCTGTTACTCTCAGGTGACAGTACTGAGAGACTCTCAATGGCACTAGCTAAATATGTCTCTTAGTTTCAAAGGTTTTGTAGTTTACACAGGAGCTGCCCCACCACATTTGAAGAATTCCTTTATTAGTTTGATTGTCATTCATTTCACATCTAACTGTTACTCATGGGGGCTGATTGTCTTGCAGTTCATTTGGTTGCACAGCCACAGGCAGATCACATTTGAATTCAACAGTTTCAGTTCATGATCAGCCTCCCCTATGTGTAATCAACTGTACAGAACGTAATAATCTTCTAATACTGTGCTTACTGCACTGAAATAAAAGACAAACCAGTAAATGAGGGAGATGCACATTTTACAAAGATTCACTGTTGCAGATGAAAATGATACACAAGTTTGAGGGCTTAGATGAAATTGTAATTTTGATTTCAGGCAAACAGTTTTCTGGTAGTGAAGTGCTTTCAGGTTGTCTAGTAAAATATTGCTCCCTGGTTTGGGTCACCCATTTCCTTAGGTGAAAACGTAGCATTTGAAACACTCATATCTGTCCTGGCTCATGTAGTTTCATCATTAGATGAACTTTCACATTATGTAGCAGATGCAGCATTGGTCATCTCTGCAGATGGCTAACATGCTTTTCTTTTTGCTAGCAATGTTTGCAAATATGTACTCTCCTCTTTGTAAGCCAAGTGAACAACAGTGTGTGCCTATTTAAAAAAACAAACAAACAAAAACAGTGGGAAAGGCTTTTAGCTTTTATATATTTATGTGGTTGGAATGTCAGTTTCACTTCACTGTCTTTTTTGTTGTTGTTGTTGTGGGTTTGTTGGAGGTTTTATTGTTTGACTCTTATACAGCATTTGTTTGTGAAGTGAATCTTAAAGTAGGTAAATATTGTTGGTAAAACTGTCCAAAGTATTTTTTAGTATTACACAAAGTTTAAGATGTGAATATGAAATTGATCTTGAACTCTAGTCTCCAGAATAGTAATGTTAATGGAGCCAATTCACTGAACTAAATATATTTGCTATAAAACTCTGAGATTGCACAAACAAATGGACTCGTTATTAATTATGTGTTAGTACTGTCCTAGTTTTAAACGTGGAGTTGTCTTGGCCATATTTGCATTTCATACTTTAAAAAGGATGCAGACTGCAATTTTGATAAGAAGTCCAGAGTGCTACAGAGCAAATAATTCATGTGAGCTTCAGGCCAAAACGCTGTTTAACATTCAATTCCGTAGAAATGGGATATATTTAAACATGGGCAAGTGTTACTGGAGACACTTGCCAATTGTGCAAGCAACTGCAGCTTCTGCTATCTTCTTCATTTGGAAACAATTGTTTTCATCTCTGAATTTGATTTAAATTGCTGAGCTTTGCTGAACAGAGACAGGATAATACACTAAGGTCTGGTAACATTTTGGCAATTCTTGCATGCAGTGCAGGGTGCATGAAAACCCTTTACTTAATTAATTGAAAAATGCATAGAGCCAATACACTGATTACTTTTAGTATGATTATGTTATGACATTTGCTTTATTTCAGTAATTGCTATAACTCTTAATAGATATACACAGACATATACATCTGTATACTTGTATACACACACACCAGAAACAACAAATCCTTTTCCACTACAGGCTGTGCCGGCCAAGTGTCTTGTGCCCCAGAACTCTGGCAGTCCCTGCAGGACTCAGTTGCAGGGGTTTGAGAAAGCTTTCTGTCTGCCCCTTCCCGTGGAGGTTACAGAATGCATGCAGACACATCAGCTGCTTCAATATGTGCTCTCCTGTGTTTTAATAATTGATAAGGAGTGCTTGAAGTAATACACCAGTGTGTCCATAAGCGAGTTTGAAATGAAAAGATACATACATTTATACCAGCCTGGCACAGGTTTAGTAATCTCCAGCAAATATTTTGGAAATAGCACCAACCTCTTGTGACTGTGTCCATTCCACTCCATCTGTCAGAAACCTTAGATCAATTTTCCGTGACTGCTGTTCCTCAGGAGCTATGTCTGAGAGCTGCAATGCAGGAAATGAGAGAGATCAAACCATTTTTAGCAGCTAGCTCAATTAGAAATACTAGAAAACTTTGTATATTTCCCTTTGTATATTTCAGGTTCATTCAGGGTGACAAAATTGCTTCTTTCTACAAATTGTATCTCTATTTAAAATGTTTATTTTTCACAATGTGTTATATTTGTACCAGATATGTAATATGGAAAATAATGCTGCATTTTGGATTGCTATAAATAGGAATAGTTTCCTACACACATCTTTTCTCTTTTTGTTCTGCTCTTCTTTGTATGTTAATTAAATCTCAACCTATTACGTTCTATTTTATTCCATAACCTGCTATGTCTGTGTTTTATCTGAATTTTCAAAATTTTATTTTCTTGAACCCTTCTGACAAAAACTAAAGAAAGAAGTGTGCATTAGCGATGATACTCGGAATGACCAAACAATAAAACCACTAGAAGTGAGGGGAAAATAGCTTGCTGAGATGCCATTATAACAGAGCTGGCTCTGTAACTTGTTCCCAAGAATTCCACATTTATTGTCTAGGTCTTAGGATAGGAGGAATTCTGTTACTGGCAAAATTATGCCGTGGACAAAGTGTAAGGTGACATGTTGAAATGCCATCATATTAAAGGAGCTTACTTGAAATAAGGAATCATATGCCCAACAGCCTGGGCTGCTTGATTTACAAAAGGCTCTAGGGTAAATTTAGGGCTTTCTTAAAAGCAATATTCTTTGTTTATGCTAGATTTTTTTTTTGTTAGCAAACATACATTTTCTTTAAATGTAGATTAAGTAGAAAGGAGTTTATGTATTGCTAGTGGAAAAAAGAATGTGATTTACAGTTGAAAACTCCAGGTAAAATGGAGTTTAATATGCTATATTTGAGATGCCAGGACACGAAGAGTCAGCTGTTCTAAAATTTGTGCAATAAAATCATCACAGCGGGGGAAAAGGTGGGAAAAAAATGGCAAGGTTTTTAGAATGATTTTAATTGGGATTCGCTTGTCTACACAGGAATGAAGAAACCCCTTGAGATGCAGACGAAAGAAGAAAAATGGAGGATGTAGCAGGTTAGATCTCCCATTCTTGAAATCAAAATTGTAAAAAATAATATATAATTATGTTTGATCTTGAGTGTTCATTCTTTGTTACTACGATTTGCAAAACAGTAATTAGAAATAATTGTACAACTAACTAAACATTTAGTATTATTTGGTACATTTTATTAAGGCGAGAAAACTGCAGGTGGATTTCCTGCTCGTGTCCGTATGTGAGCAAGGGAGCAGAGCATGGGAAATAAATCTTGTTCTTCCCCTGACTGCAATGCAGATCTGGCTCTGGGCGGGGTTTCCATTTCCGCACGGCTCCAGCACATGGGCAGCGCTCAGCCAATCGCGAGCGCCACATCTGGCACTGGGTTTGTGCGGCTCTCAATGCCTCTTGACTGCTGAGCAGCAAAACCTCTCGCTTCTTTTTCCCCCTTCTTTTCCCTCTCCTAAATTGAATTTGCACACATTCTACAGACGGTGATTTATGTCAAACATAGTTGTAACTGTTTATCTGGTACACACTGTAGCTACCCCAACAGCTAGTTTGCCAACATCTGTCACAAACCGAATTACAAAAAAACCCCCAAAACCGGCTACATAGATGATCCTTTTCCTGTACTTACTCTCCATGCCATGCTCTAAGCTGCTGGGATCATGCTTTTTGATAACGTGGTATGCTTTATCTGTTTGTAAATTGTTCTTCACTTTTAAGTATCACACTCCCTTGCAAGTCAGATGCTTCAAAATGCATTGAATTGATTTTTTTATATGATTATTTTCTGGTCTGTTGCTGCTGAAAAAC